TTGCAGGTATAGTTTTATGATCATTTATATAATTTTGGAGTCATTCTGCTGTATATTCTTTATAATTTACCATCTTTATGCTATTAGTAGGCCATTTGAATTCTGAAGTTTCTTTTTTTTTTTATGGCATGTTGATTCAGTGAACATTCAGTAGGAGACTAAATTTCTCATCGTTGTTTGTCTTGTCCAGTGATTGTTTTTAGGGATACGTTCTTACTTAATACTTATTAGTAATTAACAAAATAGATTTTTTTTTTTTCGTGCTTTTTGTCTTTTATTTTTCATTGGAAGTTTGACAATTATCATACAGCTCTGGTACCATACCTTATGACTGACAATATTAGCAACAGGTTGTGAATACATTCACAACCTTGCCCCTTTTTAGGTTTCTGCTATGTTTTGATGTGTAATTATTACGTTTGTAACAGATCCCAGGTCCTTTGACTTTTTCTTTTTAGTTAGTGTTACTTAACGTTGTAACCTTGTTAAGGTTGTGATTTGAACCCTTCCTAATTGCAGACGAATACAAGTGTTGCATCTTCTTTAGGGACATATTTCCTGCCCCAAATCTCATTGATCTTTTTGGACATGTTGAATGTGTACAGGTATGTTCTATTAACTGTTTAGTTTTTATGTGGAACACTAATAACAAAATTGATATAGAGCCATAAGTAGTTTGATTTGATTATAAATGCTAAATTGCATTTTTTTCTTTCTGCAACAGAATGTACAGTGAACTTATTTCAAAAAGTATTGCAGAAGGGGGACCTTTTGCATCTAGGACATCCTATGTGAAACTTCTACGGTAAGATTAATTGAAGATGTATTGGTTTTGTACAAATGAGATTACTAGTCAGTTCTCTATTTCTATACATGTTCATTTTGATGCAGTTCGGTTAAGAAGGAGACACTTAAGCTGATTGAGACATTCTTGGATAAGGCAGAAGATCAACCACATATTGGAAAACAATTTGTGCCACCAATGATGGATCCTGTTCTTGGAGATTATGCTAGGAATGTTCCTGATGCAAGGGAATCAGAAGTTTTGTCACTTTTTGCCACAATTGTAAACAAGTAGGCTTCTGCCTTTTTCTTCATGTTCCCTTTATTATTGATGATTTCTTTGCTATTTCAATGACAAACAGCATGTGTCATTCGATTCTCTCTCTCTTCCAGATATAAAGCTGCAATGATTGAAGATGTACCTCGCATATTTGAAGCTATTTTTCAGTGCACACTAGAGGTAATTGTGTAGGGATATTCAGCTGGTTATTATTAATCTATCATGGAGGACCCTATGTTTAACGTCCAGCTTTTGCTGCCCATTGTTCTCTTTTATTTTAAATATTTTTACTTTTGCAACTGAATATCACCTGGTTATTTTTAGATCAACAGTGTGTTTTTGTTAGTTAACATGTGAATTTACTGTAATAGTTATATGCGATTGTGCAGAAGATTGAGAAAGTTGGAGTTGCACTTATTGTATAAAAATGTAGAATCTTGCCTTCGGTGATTTGGACATGTAAATACTTCTAAAAGGCCTGATAAAGAGTCTAGATTAGGTGGAGAGTGACTTAATTGTGGTAGATGATGATCAAAAGACTATATGTGAAACTATTTAGAAGGATTTATAGGTCAGTCGTTTGTTTATAGACATGATTCTCAATAGAACATATGGCGTCTTTTGATGCTTAAAGTTTACCTGATTTAATGTGAAAAGACTAGGTATTTGTTTTGAGATGCATAATTTAAAAGTCGTGCTAATGATGCACAACTTAAGTTGTAATTTTAACAACACCGATGACAAATAATTATTGGGTATCTGCACATGAAGTGTAAACTGAATTATTGTTTCCTTTTTAACTATTTTACAGATGATTACAAAAAATTTTGAAGATTACCCAGAGCATCGGCTCAAGTTCTTCTCTCTTCTCCGCGCGATAGCTACTCATTGTTTTCCTGCATTAATCTGCTTGTCAAGTCAGGTACTGTTTCTTGCTCTGTTTGTTCACAATATATCAGTGACATGTCAAACAGTGTATTTGGGTATATCTGTTGTTGGCTGGCTATGACTGCATTGCCAAATTTTGTACTCTCTATAGTCTGCATCTCATATTTGTGATCTCTGCCAGCAACTGAAGCTTGTTATGGATTCAATCATATGGGCTTTTCGGCACACAGAAAGGAATATTGCTGAAACTGGGCTGAACCTCCTGTTGGAAATGCTGAAGAAGTTTCAGGTGTGGCCTTTGTATATTATTTTATCACTCCTTTCTAACCTCCTGAGGTTCTTTTTGCTTATTTAATTTTCTTTATTTATTTTGTGTAAGTTTTCTTGTTTAGGAGGGATTCTTACCTCTCATGTGAGTTGCATTTTCCATGTTTTCTCTATAATAAACTTTATTTTTCCATCCACAACAAAATTAATCTTCATGTTCTGATTCTTATTGTGCTAGTGTATGCCTTTGTTTTATATTTTTGTTGGCTGAATATGTCTTTATAACAGGGCTCAGAGTTTTGTAATCAATTTTATCGGACATACTTTTTGACAATTGAACAAGAGATATTTGCAGTCTTGACTGACACTTTTCATAAGCCTGGGTTCAAATTACATGTCTTGGTACTTCAACATTTGTTCTGCCTGGTACAGTGCCATAATCATCTTTTATTTCTTTTATTTGTTTTACTAGCTCGTAGCAAATGTCAAAATTGGTGAATTTCACTTTTTTCAGCTTGAAACTGGTGTCCTAACTGAACCTCTTTGGGATGTTGCTACAAGTCCATATTCATACTCGAATAATGCAGTGTTTGTACGGGAGTTTACCATAAAACTTCTAAGCACTTCATTTCCCAACATGACAACAGCAGAGGTAATTGGAGAGAGACAAATAAATATTTGATGCCCCTCCCTTGCCGGAACAAATGACGAATTTTAAAAAAAATTGCAGGTTACCCAATTTGTCAATGGACTATTCGAGTCCACAAATGATCTCTCCACATTTAAAACTCACATACGCGATTTTCTTGTACAGTCAAAAGAATTTTCAGCTCAGGTACTGAACTATGTACTATTGCTACACTACGTATATTGTTGCACTCCATCTTAATATTTAAGTTGGTTCTTGTAATGATTGTCAGTTAGCATTTTGCTTATCTTATTGGTAAAGTTGTTAATGTTTTTGGTTTGCTTTATGTTGTAATTTGTTTCTTTCACACAATGTATAATGTTGACACTTCGATTATATTTTTGCCCATAATTCAGTACATATCTGAGGTTTGTCAATTGCCCTCTCTTCTGCAGGATAACAAAGATCTCTATGCCGAAGAGGCTGCAGCTCAGAGAGAGAGAGAACGACAGAGAATGCTATCTATTCCAGGGCTAATTGCCCCGAGCGAGTTGCAAGACGAAATGGTGGACTCATAGTTAGGCTAAACAACATGGGAGTTAATAGTAACACCGTGGGCATTTTAACTTGTTTCACAGGCTCTTTGATTCAATCAATTGCCAGATACTTTGAGAAGAGATGCAGCTCTTTCCTCCAAGTTTAATTTTCCCCTGTTCCCGATATTTTATGTTGGGACTGGTTTGGCAAAGTTCCTGTTTTCAGAGTTTTGGCTGGCCAGGGATACTGCCTTGTCCATTGGGTGAGTGTAGATTATTCAATTACTAATTGGGATGATAATATTGTCTCATTTGTAAGGGATTCATGAAGGCATCTTTATATAGAATGGCAGGATGAAAGACTCGTTCCGAGAATTGATGACTCCTTAGGTGTGACCTCCTAACTTCGGGCGGTTTGTGCAGAAAACCCTTGTGGTTTTATATTTTGTATTTTTTCCCTTCACCAATTAATTTTTAGGGATATTGATGTACCATGAGTGCACTTAATATATGGTTTCATTAATTAGTGTGTTATATAGTATGTCCCCAATTCCTCCAAATAGAGGGAAGACTTATCATTTTATTCTTCTGTTGCCTATCGAGTTTCAACTTTCTGGCAGATTTTTTTACACGTTGAAAGCAACAAAAAATAACCTAATTAATCAAACTACTTGATGACAAAGGTTTATATTTAATGCTTACCGTGAGTTACCCATGGCTTTTTATTGTATCAAGGCTAGAAATGGGATTTGAGAAAAGATTCGGTGTGTTTGGGAAAGAGATCGTGAGTAGTAAAATTTAAGATCACGAGTCAACAGTGGGTTTTATATATTGTATGCATTGGTCTCCTTGAACTTTTTTTAAAATTTTAAGTCTCATCTGGAGTGTGCATATTTCACTCTATAATTCTCGCAAAGACTTGATTTTTGAAGTTATAAAAATTACTTTTGTGCATTTTAATGAAAATTATTTGTTCTAAAAAAATGTAATTCAGATCAATTTAGGTGTATGTTTTAAATATATTTAATAGTGTAAAATTAATTTTATTAAAATAATTTTTACTCGATTTTAAAACATGCATAATAATTATTCGTGAACATTATTAATGTTCATAATGTTCACTTAATGTGTTTTTAAAAATAACGTGTTCATAATGTTCATTTTACGTATGTCCGTCGAGAATGGGATGCTAAATTCAAGTTATTGGATAGAAATAATATTTTAAATTGCCTCTAAATCAATTTTAAAATTTCGTCAACATTTATGAGGATGTTATGTTAGTAGTTAAGTAATGTTGAGTTTGCTTCTAAAGTGAATAAGGAATAGTTTTTTGTTTTATCTAATAAAAATCATTATTAATTTATTAACTAATCTAAATGTGAATGCATGTTTTTCTTTGCTTGATTTAAAAACAAAATAACTAGGAGTTTAGGACCTCTTCCAAGTGAAGTCCGTACTCCGTTGTAATGCAGTGATTATAATGGGTTAATAGTTATAGAATTACGGGGGATGGAAAGCGTTAATAATGAAGAAAGGAGTAGATAAATGATGCTTGCGTATACATTTTTTTTTAATGGAAGATATATTGACCATGCAAATGATTATTTAGCCAAGGAGTGCATTCTTGGATAGAGAAGAATATATTCCTGAGATTTTTTCAACACTGAACATTAATGCTTTACTGTTGATATATGCGATTTTTTTTTTAAATAAAGTTATAAAATTAAAAAAAAAATGAAAAGGTGAGATTCTTATTTTTATTTGTATTATTATTAAGGTGTGGTGAAATTGTTGTTGCAAATCCAAATTCCAACGCAACGTAGGGGGAAGGCAACGCCATTGAATCCCTTCCCTTTCCATTCCAATTGGAAGGTTCATATTTCTTAATGTGTTTTTGCAATTTCAAATCTATTTGATCTCATAGACGGAGGCATGGGTCAAGCTTTTCGGAAGCTCTTCGATACCTTCTTCGGCAATACCGAGATGCGGGTCTCTTCTTTCTCCATTTATTTGTTTCTTTTATAATAAATTTTATTTTTCTCTGTTTGTAGCTTGCAATCAGTTATCATCATGATTAATAATGAAAGGTTACGCAATTCTTAATCATCAATACTTGTGTTTCTTGGTCTAATAATCAATTCTTAATCAGAGACTCACTTTTTTTTGTTCCCGTTTGTCTGGTTTAGGTTGTGATGCTTGGTCTTGATGCTGCTGGCAAAACAACTATACTGTATAAGCTCCACATTGGAGAAGTTTTATCTACTGTTCCTACAATTGGTGGGTATATATATAGATTTCCTGGTATAAGCTAGATAAGTTATTTCTGTCGTAAGGAATGTTAAGCTTATGCTTGTCAGTTATCTACTTTATTTTTTGTTTATTTTTGTGTCCATTTGATTATGCTTGTAAGTTATGGAGTGTTTTGTTTTCTCATGACTGTGTGAAGTAATAAAAACCAATTTTTAATAGAGAAGGGTTTAGTGAAACTTGATTTCTTGTGTGTTGAAAAAGATATTTTCCCCTCTTGATTGGTAGGGCAAATCCGCAAATATCTATAAGCAGTTCGTATGTGTGAATTGATTAGATGTTTGTTTGAGGCTTATAAATTTGTACTTTTTTGTAGGTTTCAATGTGGAGAAGGTTCAGTATAAGAATGTTGTTTTCACAGTTTGGGATGTTGGAGGGCAAGAGAAACTAAGGGCACTTTGGAGGCACTATTTTAACAACACTGATGGTTTGGTAAGAATTAGTTTCCATGATTTTATATGCTCTATCTTATTGAAACCACAATTTGTGCAATTTTTTTTGTGAACTTTTTTACAATTATTCATCTATCCCATAGGACTGAAAAAACAGGATACAGGTCCATATTTGTCAGGTTAATACATATGTGCACATTTATGCAGATATATGTTGTGGATAGTCTGGACCGTGAGAGGTTAGGGAAAGCAAAGCAGGAATTTCAGGTGATAAAATCAAAACACTCTCTCACACACACACCCAATGTTATTCCAAGCACACTTTGAATAGATCTATGGATTATTTGCAGACAATCATAAATGATCCATTTATGCTTCACAGTGTCATATTGGTGTTTGCCAACAAACAAGACCTGGTATGTCTTCATTACTTCTTGATCTGTGATTTTTGGGCTGAACAACCTGACATTTATGGTTATCTTCACGAGTAAGATGAAATCAGAGCTAAAGCATGTGAATTGATTAACATTGTTTGCTGAATATACTACAAAACTTAGAAGAGTGTGCTATAATTAATGCATATACAAATACCAACAATGTAGGTAAGTTTTATATTACCAAAATTGTTGAAATAGTTAAAATAATTGGAAATTAGTTAGAAGGTTTGGATTCTTTTCCACTGCCAATAGGCTGTGAGACTAGGTAAGTTGCACTAGGAAATCCACAGAGCTAAGTTAATTGCACCGGAAAAATTTGTGGGATCAAATTTTATTTTATTTTTCAATCAAGTGTGGCCCAATACAAGATTTAAAATAAGCTTTGTTACCATTTTGAATTTGGGATTTAAGCTTAATTCAACCCCAAAAGTTAACTAGTAAGGTGAGAATTATTTTAGCCTTTATAAACTCTTATTTAGCCACATATATAGATGATGTAGGACTTTAAAAGTTATAGGCTTAATCCACGGCCGTATGTGGGTCAAAATAATAAAAACCTAATTACTATAGCACGAGGCAAGCAACCAAAGTCATCTTTCTAGGATCATCAAAGCAATTTATCAAATTAGAGTTTAGAATGGGAGAATTTAACAAAATCTAAAATGAGAGGAGATAATCAATTAATTGAACACTTAATTCAAAAATCAAAAGATAAACAACAATACTCAATCATTGAATCCAAAAATTGATAATATTCTAATTTGAGATATTAAAACCTGAATTTGAATGAAATCTCAATCCAAACCAAGTGATCACACAAAAACTTTCATGCATTTGATTAACACAAAATTAAAATCCAGAAACATCTAGAATTCAATCAAAACGCATTAAATTTTTGCACCACTTAATTAACTCCAATTTTTTAAAATTGACTCACACTTCAAACGAATAATAATGAACCAATCACTTCTCAATTGGAATTAGAAAATACCTATAATTCATGAAATTAAATAGATTAGAGAGAAGAAGAGAAAACCCAAATTGAGAACAAACAACGAGAATCGATTTTAAAAAATGTTGTGCTTCCTTAATCCTTGAATGAGATTATGAAAGCTGCTCTTCCAACTATGGAAGAGCACAAAAATTCAAAGTTTTTTGAATAGCAAAGAAGAGCAAAAAGAAAAGAAGGAAAATTCAAATTGAATCTAAATCTGTCTACGTTCTCCCTCTCTCCTTTTAATAGATTCAAAAAAATAGAGGATAACAAAAATCTTAATCATAATGATAAGTAATTTTATCAAAAATTTGAAAACAAGATTGCACCAAGTTTGAAATTTGAAAGATACCATAATCTAAGGAAAGATATCTTAAATGGTAACTACATAATCTCCTAGAACAAATTCGTAACTTGCTCCTTTATTTTGACCCAAAATTTGCGCTCATTTGGCTATGTGATCTGAATATGAATTGAAGACATGGATGTTAGCTTTCAATGCTACTGGAATAGACCAAGATATGACCAAAACACTACACCCTGATTAGGATCCGCATTTGCCTCCTTTCTCTTTTAGTTTAAGCCCAATTCTTGCTCTATATGTTAGGATTCAGTCTCTGATTTCTTAATTAGAGTTGTAGGTCGATATCTTAGCTTTAAACAAGAATCACATTATAAGGAGGTCTATAGCCCAATTTATAACTCATACTAAATAGTGTCAGAATATACCCTATGCTGAAATAATTGAATTAAGGCCTAACCAAGATAAAACTTGTCCAAATCAATTCACTTATGCACAAGAGGTGGTTAATATACCAAATACGAAGGGAAATATATATGAAAATTCAATTCATCAAGGCTTCACTATTTTTTTATGTAAAAATTATTAGATGATGCATGGCACATCCAACTGAAACAGACTATGTGTGTGCACAGAAATTCTTATTTACCATTGTGATTAGCTGATATGTTGGTTGGACCATATGAGAAATATGAACCTACTTGGGAAAGTTAGGTAAATTTATACCCACAGAAAAGAGTAAAAGCATTTGCTGAGAGAAACTTGTTCCTATCATAGGTCCAATCAATCAACACAACTGAATGATATTAAAAAGTTATTGTTTATTTATAAAACACCTTCTATGGAGGGCATGCTCATGCAAACAATTTTTCAATGCATATTTCCCAAAGCTTATTAGAATTTACATGTCCAAACTAATTAACTAAATTTTATAAATCACTCGTCACATAATTCCTATTATGTAGTTGGCTCAACAGCTAGTACCACACAACCATAATATCTCATCTCATTTTGGTAACGTTCAATTTTGATTTTACGTTTGTATCTATAATTGATTTTTCCTTTATTTATAACTTTTGTTTCTGTAGTCTAAGTTGGAAAGGAAAAGACATACTATTGCAACCTCAGAGCAATGTTAGCAAATCTCAAGGGAGATTAGTATAATAATATCTTGAAAATTTTCAAATTCAAAGCACTTAAGGAAAAAACTGAACCACAGTATGTGTGCTTGAACAGAAATCTTTTGTATTTTCTGGTTAACATTTTTTTATTATTTTTTATTTTCTTCTTGTTTGTACATCATTCTGCTTGACCATAAAGTTGTATACCAGTGAAAAATTTTTATTTTTGGTTTCTCACTTTTTTGGTGGGATTTGTAATTTTTTTTATTACACGTTATTCTTACATGTATACCACTTGAATTCTGCATGCTATCTGCCCCAAAAATCTGACTGAAAAGTTTTCATTCCCAATATATGCTGTTTCGTGAAATGGAGCTTCTCTGTCTTTCGAAAGTAACATGCACTTTATATGATTATCAAATATCAATATCCTGTAACCTTAGCAAACCATTCTTTTTGAACAAACTACTCTCCTCCAAAACAAATAATAGAGCGTTGCCTTATTCTCAAGTCTAGTTATAATAGTGAATCTTTTCCTATTCTTTTCCAGAAAGGAGCAATGTCGCCTAGGGAAGTATGTGAAGGATTAGGTCTCTTTGATCTCAAGAATAGAAAATGGCACATACAAGGCACTTGTGCTCTTCGGGGAGATGGCCTTTACGAGGGCTTGGACTGGTTGTCCTCAACTCTAAAGGAGAGAAAAGCTGCTGGATACTCTTCAATAGGACTAGGAACTTCATCCTTCTAATTTCAAGGTTTGAACTATCATCTTATTTCAATCATAATCTGCCTTCCTGTTTATCATCTCATTACATTATGTGTATTCTCCACTGCAGAGGTAATTGGCGATGGATGAATGGGTAGTGTGGCCAGTTCGACGATGATCTGATTGTTAATCAAATTTTTTGGGTTACATCTGAAGCTGATAAGTATAAGTTGCTTCGCCTTTGAGGGTGCTTAAGATATGACTTACTCCAATTATAGAAGTTTGTGCATGACGAATGATAAACTAAAATTCTTTTGCAATATTTATATCCCTTATTTTGTGCACGTGTACCGGATACAAGGTCATGGATTCCGCATCTCTTCACTTCTTCACTTGTTCATTCTGCCTCATTACCTTCACCTCACTTTGTAGTATTTCTCTATGGCTGTGGCTGTGCCTGTGCCTGTGATGATTCATAAAAGTAATGATTCTGATAAATACATTGGGAGCTTGTCTTGATTTTCTTTTCGGCTACATTTTCTTATGATTCAATTAAATTGGGTGGTTGCAATACGTACTTTACTTTTGGTTATAATCCAGTCATCTATTGAACATCAGAAAATCGTTATTGCAATTGCTTTTAACTAAACTTGAGCCGCATTGTTGTATATTTTGAAATTATCAAATGGATTTCTGCAAAGGAGTCGGAATGGTAATGGATTGAATTTCGTACAGTTAGTAACTTTACTTTTAGTGTCCGAGTCGATACCCAAAATGCTAAATATAATATGTTTAAAGACTAATTAAATTGTGTTTAAATTTTATCATGTTTGACGCATCTTTCTTGTTTTGCTTAATTAATTTTTTATCTCTAAATAAATTGTAATTTTTTTATTTGATCTTTTATCTTTAATTTTTTTCCAACTGAATCTGTCAAAATGTTTTCTGTTACAAAATAGTTTATTTATTTTTTCTATTTAATTTATCATGTTGTCTCTTATTTTATAGTGTACAAGCAAAAAATTCATGATATTTAATGAGGATTAGAGGGATCAAATGAAAAAATTTATGATATTTAAAGGAATTAGATAAAAAAAGGGGGGGGGGGCATTTATCAAACAAAATATTTTATGAAGGACTTGTTTGAAAAAAATAAAAAATAGGGAAGTAAATAAAAAATTAATAATTTTTTTAGGGATCTAAAATTTAATTAACCCCTCTTATTTTATAGCAACTCTTGGACCTTCTTTGTACTACAAATTCTCGTTAAAAAACAAAACTGAAAGAAAACCAAACTATTCAAGCTGAAAGGTAAATACCTAAACGACACCTAGGAAGGGTTACAAATTTCAAATAAACTGGATAGTATAAAGCTTTCTAGTACTGAGGAAAGATCAAAATCATGAGGTCGATTTAGTATAGGAAAGAAAATGAAACAAGAAAAAACGAAAAGAAAATATAGAGAAACAATATTAAAAATTTAAATATGAAATTTACCGATTAAACTGCGCAGGGCCTTGTTATATTTCAAGAGTTACATGCATATGATTCTTTGACAGGATTCCGTTCAACAATTATTAATTTTTCATGGAAACTGCATGATAAATTTGGCAATTACATATCTCTCTCTCTGGTGTGTGGGTGTGTACGTACAAAAATACATTACATTACAGTCTACAATTTGCAATCACCAACATTTGACATATGAACAGTAACATAAAATCACCATCTTTCATCATTTATCCAATTATTTTTCTCTTTTGGCCCTGTGGGACCTTCCTCACCATACAGTTCCCCGGGAAACTTGTCAAACAAGTTTCTCACTGAATATCGAATGATGCGTGGAAGAGCATTGATTATCTTATAAAGCTCAGTTTTTGAATCATAAACAATTTTGGGACCCCATTCTCTCATAAACTGCAACCAATGAGGCTCAATGACTGCATTTTCTAGATACTCAGCTGCAACAACCTCATAGTGAATACTAGAATCCACGTACAAATTACTGCTAGCAGCATCATTCCTAATGCCAATCCCAAGTTTTGGAGAGCCTTGAATATAGGTCCCAGGATGAGGGTAACTTGCATGTCCATTTTTTGATGAGTAAACAATAGCTTTATTGCCCTCAATATAGTCTAAGTCACCGGAATCCACCCATTCACCACCACTGTGCTGTGAGAAGTATATACTATAGAGTTCTCCACTGAAGTTGCATATACGAAGCGTAAAATGCTCCCAGTCACCAACATGCTCTCCAATCTTGCTCAAATGAATATTCTTAATTCCAATTTTCAGAGTGGCTGGTCCATTGAAAGGACAAAAAACCCACATTGCAATGTCTGTAAAAGTTCCACCAAGAGCTGGCTTCACATGAACATAAAGCCTTGCACTTTTCAAGTCCCCATGTTTGAGCAAATCCCTTTGATCATCACTTGGCAAGTCTATCCAAAACTGCCCATCATTTGTTCCCCCTTCTGGTAGATTTGAGCCAGCTGCATCAATTCCCTCTCCTGTAGACACACCCTTTTTGTACAACAAGGCTCCATTGTTGAAAAACCAATCAACAGAAGATGGCAAGTAAATTTCCTCAGGATGAAAGAAAATAGTGGGGCCATAATGCTTAATAAGTGCATGTATTTGTTCCAAATTTGGCATCGCTGGTAACACTGGATTCAGGTTCTTCAAGCATGCAACGGGCAACTCTTCTCCCATTCTCCAGTCACTACTGCAGAAAAAAGTCCAACCAGAAACTCCTTTCCCTAACATGCCACGGTCACAAGGTCTCAAGCTCCACACCTGAAATGAAAACTCTGGACTTCTAGAACCTGCAGCAAGTATTAAGCGGTAAGGTTGATATTTATCAGTGAGGTCAATTCGAACACAGCATATTTCATCCAACTCAGGCTTGTCAGGTTTGTTAGTAACCAAATAGCCAATGGCCATGTAACCTTCAGGAGGCACAGGTAGCCAAAAGTATGCACTTGACATTTCCTGATTTCCTGCATTTTGATTCCAAATTAACTTAAAATCAAGAGGATTCTTCAGAGGAGGTAACTTATCCTGGTTGCGAATATCAGCAGTTTCAGGCAAGCAAGTTTCCACTTCCCTTGCCACAAGTATAAAACCGTGTAAAGGCTTGTCATTGGGTTGACAATAGTGCCCAAGGATATGGAAACTATCCGGTACTCCCACTGGCTTATAGAATGTAACAGCATTTTTTGTGTCTAGTTTAGAACTGCTGCTCCAGATTAGCTCAAACCTAGTCACCTTTAAAACTTCTATTTCACCAAGATTTACAAGGCCAGAAGCAAAACCTTGTCCTGTAATGACATATACAAAATAGATTAGTTTAGACTTTAGAAAGGTGCGTTAATTTTCTTTTCTCAATTTTTTTTAATCTGACTTTAAATGTCAGTTAAAGAAAAGTTTCTATGTGGCATTGGGACTGCAATATTATAGAAGTACAACATTCTTGGATAAGATACCGCACCGATCTATCATGGTAAAATTTAGTTTCAAGATCATTACCAATGTTAAATTCCTAAAACAATTTAGATTTGATGTCAGAATTTGTAAGTAATCTATTACAGAATAGTTACTGAATGCACTGCATTTTTAACTAGAAATAAAGCTTCAACAAACATGCGACAGCCAGTGAAACCGGAACTTGACACGGGAAAGGGGTGCATAAATGATATTTATAATCCAGAAAGGTCTGCATAGGAATAGAGACAAGGGTTATTTGCATAAAGGATAAAAAATAAAAACTTTACATGAACCATTGTGACCCAGTAACAAAAGAAGCAAAATGCAGATTCCTGTCATAAGAATTTTGGAAAAGCAAAAGACAAAAATAGGGACCTTGAGGCCATTGAGGGATCGGGTTGGGGAGAGAAAAGGTTTGAGGGGAAGACGATTGAGCGATTGTATTTGTATTCGAATGAAAGCACTTAGAGTCCATCAATCACAGATGCACACTTTACACACTCATTTTCCCAACACAACAAACGGAATTCACGATGCACTCTCTACGTTTGTCAGCAATTCTACTCTGCGATTAACACCTTTAATTAATAAAAGTGCACTGCATGGCTTTTTTTCACCCACAAAAATAAAATACAGTTGCATGGCTCTTACAAACAGAAAAGCACGCATGTACATACACGCAGTTTTTCTTTCTTTCTTTTTTTTTTTTTTTTTAACTTTCTCAACTTTCTACGACATAAAATGTTATATACATATTTATGGTAAGAAAAAATTTCTAAGTTATAAAACCTTAGTGGAAGAAATAACATTTCGAGAAGTTTCATATGGAGTCTCGCCCTTTATTGAAAAATATGTGAACTCAAGAAGCGATTTTATTAAAAAGACTACATTTCAAGGTATCTTAGAGATTTTTGTCATACCCTTAATTTCCTTCAAAACTGCTGGAAAGATAGAAGAATAGTAAAAAAATTATTCTAAGTCCACAAGACTGAAGGCCTTTTCGAGGTGTTTTTGAGGGTTCTTAGCACCTGGACTAAGAATAGCTAAAAGCAATCGAAATAAGACTAACAAAAAAAGTATTCTAAGTACATAAGACGAGAGGCCTTTCGAGGCATTTTTAGAAGATTTTCAAGCCTCTGACTTCAAAATTGCTCGAGAAACAAGAAGTGGTCAAAAAATATTCTAAGTGCACAAACATAGTCAAATTCCATATTCTTCTCATAACTGCTCAAAAAATAAGAATAAGCTGAGGAAATATGCTAAGTCCATGAGACTCAAAGAGCTCGCAAATCCTCCATAATTAGTCGAAAAGATAAGTTAAGGAAAAATTACTCTAAGGCCATCATAATGCTAAAAGAGTCTCTTAGATTTCTTCCAAAAATGCTCAAATGATAAAAAAAAAATAGAATTCTTGATAGGACTCAAGCTATTTTAAAAACATTACCAATAATTACCACCAGACAAAGGTTTAATAACATGAAGAAAAATCATGAGTAATAGTGGTTATGGAAGAAGCCCCAACCAAAAGCACGATCACAAGCAATCATGAATAATGGGCAACAATTGAAGGTAGTTATCGAGAGGTGTCCGCGAAAAGAGGAGAACAGTAGTGGTTGCCCTTGCCTATAAATACGCTAAAGCTTCATTTTACAAGGAATAATTTTTTACACTTAGACACGGCACTTAAATTCTCTGAACGCTGAAACCTTACACCGCGTCAGACACCAGCTACCAGGAGACTCACAGTAGCCACTGTTCGCTATTGTGAGAAGTCGTATGTTTATTTACCTGCACATTTACGTTTCTGCATTTTAATTTCAATTCGTGTTGCTTATTTCTTTGTACGCAATTTGGTTATTCCTTAGCACATTTCTGTAAAAACTCTACGTCTGATTAAATTCTGTTTGATTATTAGTTACTATTTTTGTTTAATCCTCTACTTTATAACGTCAATTTTACTGTTACGTTAACAACACACTTAAAAGAACCCAAAAAGGACATAAATTCAGTTCCCAGATTGTTCTTGGATTATTTGTTTACAAACTGTCATTTTTTATTAAAATTTTTAACATTTAATAATATCAATATATGTAATTTTTAATAAAAAATTTATATATAACTTTTTATTCTGTGCAATATTATACTTGTTAAAAAAATTAGATATATATATATATATATATATATATAGAGAGAGAGAGAGAGAGAGAGAGAGTGATAAGCATATTTTTACCTATAGAACCCTGAGCAATTTAATTGTGTGCAAGAACTTCATTATGAAAATAATTTGATTCTAAGGCTATAGTTTGGTATGCAATGGCGAGTGAAATATAATAAAATGAGACAGAAAAAATAATAAAATAAGATTATCATTTTATTAGAGTATTATTTATATATTTTTACAATGAAACAAGAAAATTTTATTGATTGGATAATTTTACGATAAAATGAAGAAAAAAAACGGTTCCTTCCCGTACTTCTAAATTGGAGGGTAAGAAAAGGATAGATATTAGGTAGATCAAACATTTCAAACAATAAAATCTAATGCATTCCATTTCATTTTGTGGTGTTTAATCTTTTCTCTGTCAGTAATTTATTTGTGATTTTAGTTAAATATAAATGGCAGTATAAAACTTTTTCATCCATATAAACTTCATTAAATTTGAAACTTGTCAATATTAAATGTTCTTTTTACCTTTATCTTGATTAATATTAATGTTTGTAGAGGAAGAAAAATGCATGTCGAGAGTAGGATTATTTGTTTAGAATATTAACCAAATACAGAAACCTTTTCCGATTAATAGTGTTGACCTCGGCAGTGTTCAAGCCAAACCCAATTTGAACTATTTGAACGAAATTTTTGAGTGCAAGTATTGTGCAGATGAAGGATAGTTGTTTGATTACAGGATTACGGTGTAGTAGCTACCTTTGTTCGTAAGTCTTCGAATACACTTTTTTTTTTTTCAGCTTTGACATGTGTATGTTAAATAACACACGAGTGATGGTTGGACCTTGGAGTTATAAGAAAAGAATAAAATGGTCTCTCTCTCTACTCTCCCAGCAGAAATCTGTTCTGCAATTTTTCCATTCGGGACCTAGCATGCATAAATTGTGTAATCGAATTATATTATTTGGCTTCAATTTTTCTACTAATGGGTAAAATTTGACCAATTTTTATTAACTCTTTCCAAATTTGTGTTTTGCCTGTAGTTAAGACTTGAGACATGTTTTGGTCCAAAATCTCAAAACGCTCAACGCACACACGACCTAGCTCAATTTGTCACACCAGCTCATTTTCGAGCTCAGACTCCAATATATCTATACGAGATATTACCAGGTGCAAACCGCTTTCAGTTGGACTGAAACCGCGAGCTGCACATTTAATCTCTTGCACACCCAAAATGCGAGCCAGATACTACCATACCCACTGCAAAGGGCATGAGAAGGAGGATGCAGAAGTTCATGAACAAGTTTGTGAACATAACTTCAGAACATAAATTAAAAGCAAATCTACATTGAGCTATTCAATATCGTCCCACCAACACAAGCATAGCATCCAAGAGATAGAGTAGAGACTGTTATGATTTTAATTTTAAAGTGAATGTCCAGCTCCAATGATTACCAAACCAGGGATTAAAGCACTCTGCAATGACCAAGGTCCAAGTTGTCCTCACAGCATTTGGAGCTCACCAGGAGGAAACATTCGAATCTTTGAGCTCATCAGAGTTTATGGATATAAAGATGGACACTAACCATGAAGCTTACGCATTATTAGCATTAGGCTCAGAATTTGTTTCTGATGATTTCACGTCTTCAAAAGCTTCCATGTCAATGGTCATATCATCACCCGTATCAGCCTCAGTCATTACTTCATCCTTGTCGACCACCAGAGGCTCAATGCCATTTTGTGTACTATCGGTTTGCTGCTGCTGCTGTTTTTCACTAGCCTTCTCTTGGTCATCTGGCTCTTTTTCTGTAGCTTGGGGGCATGGATCAGTGCAGATTGTTAAGGTAGATGTAACTAACAAGTTCTACAGAGGAAAACACCATACAGAAGTCAAGCAAATTGTTTAAACAAACTACCTATAACTCAAGTACCAATGATAAAAATGAATGATGAACTAAATACATGATTTTTTATTGTTAATCTAAAAATAATAATTTTGAACAGCAATGGCCGCTATTCCCTAACCTAAGGAAGGAATAGAGTAAGGCCTTTACTGCTCCATAGTAGAGCAAGCCCGTAAAGCTAGCTGAACTCAGGACGGGCCCAGAAGAACCAAGAAAATGGACTCTAGCTTGAAAGCCATCCATGAGCAAGGGAGAATACAATTAACACATACCTTTTCAAGAGCTAAAGCAAGCTTTGAAAGATTCGGATAAATGCTTTTTGCACCCAATAGGATCTGTTCAATGCAATATTACCCAAGTAACATTATTATTTCGATGTTAGCAAGTTAAACTTGAAATTGATACCAGAACATAATAATGTACAATCAAAAGAAACAAATTTACCTCACAAAGCCTTTGTAAGGTAAATGGAGGGCCTTCGATGAAACAAACAAGTGCTGGAATCCATAACAGCATATCAAAAAATTTTAATGGAGCTTTCATACCAAAAAATTAATAATAATAAATAAGTAAAAATTTAGCAGATCAAGTAAATAAGAACAGCTTCAAACATTTGAAGAATATATGCAACGTGAAATGAAAAAATGCAACCTGAATTGGCCACAGTTTGACAAGTTAAAAGCTTACCATAGAATCCACAAAAAGGGAGAAGTGAGTATCAGACATGGATCCCATAGCATTGAACTCAAATGTTCAACTACTAGAGCATTGGTGCTTCTAGTTTAATAATATTAGATTATCAGGTGTGTCTATTGTCATTTCTGTTTAAGTGATTTTTATCTAAAATACTCTTTCTTTAATGTGAATCAAATTAACAATAAGGATATTTAAATAAAAAAAAAAGTTCTTAAATTGGAGTGACAATAGATATGATATGAGAGTAGCAATAAATAAACACTTCCTAGATTATCTATTCTTATATATATTTGTTTGTTCAGTTTTGGTGTTGGAATATTTCTAAGATTTATATTCCCAGTCAATAATTTTATTAGTTCATATCAAAAGAAAGTTCAATATTTAAACAAAAGTTTCACGTGTTAATAGAATACTGTTATAACTATCAGTATGAAAATACCAAAATTAAATTCTTAAAGTAATTGGTTATATTTCTAGTTTAGACACATCTAACAAAGATGACTCTTTACTGGTTAAATATTAGCTAGGGAACTTATGTCGGGCGGGATACCTTCATCCAATTTGTTGACCAACTCAGTGTATGATTCTCCTAATGAAGCATATTGCTGCTCACTTGTCATTTTTGCCTCAGGGTATTCTGATAATACCTGTATAATCAATGTGTAGAGAAAGAGGCAAAAGATAAGTGTAAGAACTATGATGTATGAATAATAAAATTCAAATAAACAATTAAACTGAGACAAAATTACAAAAACTTACATGTTAGCATACCTCTAAGAATCAACAAAATATACATAAGAATGCATGCTAGCATTCCTCTAAGAATCAACAAAATATATATACAAATGCATGCCAGCATACCTCCCCATACCTGCTTCAGCTGAAATGATAGCATACTCTTCAACTTATCCCAATTATGCCTGTAATTCAAAATTTTCACCACATTAGACTTTTTCAAATATAGATCCATCTCCAAGTCAACTTTCATTAAATATATAGCCACAGTAGCCAACCCCACATAGCAATTGTTATAGACCCAAAAATCACAGAACAAGATATGGATGTAGAAACAGCAATATTGAGAGAACATAAGGGAAGTTTGTATTATTCGCAACAGAAAAAAGAAACTATGCAAAAGAAGAAAGGTTATTCTAATGCCCCAAAGCAATGCTCCTTATAGAGAGCAAAACGACACCCTATCCCACAACTTCCAAAAAACCAAAAATCTGCCCTCCACTCCCGGTTAAACATGCCTAAGTAATAAAAATTATTTTCTCTTCACAACTAACTTTGCCAACTCAGCACATCTCAAACACTTCCTAATTTCTTTCTTTTCCTCACATACACTATCTAATCCTTAGGCTTGGTTGAAGCCTCATGGATGTTAAGTTCACCAAACACGAATATAACAAATAATTGTAAAGAACAGAAGAAATCAGAAATGGAGTAATATACATGTATATGAAATGTATGATATATGAAAGAAGGTATAAAAGTAGCACTCTCTCTCTTGGTTCACAAAACTAAGAGCCTCCCTCTCTAGGCACAAACAGCCTCCTTAATCATTTTCTTCCATAACTAACTTCTCTCTCATCCTTTCCTATATAACTGACTCCCTTTACACGTGTGCTCCCTTTCCCTTCCTGGGGTACACACACCAGATTTTGGGTCTTTCTACTTGACTCACTAGTGGGCCCATATCAGTCACCCTAAAAATGGTTTACTTTCTCCTCAGGCCCATGTTCTTCTCCTTGATCCCCATCATTACCCCTCCATCAACATGAATCTTGTCCTCAAGATTGAGATGAGGGAATTGGCTTCGGATAACTACAACATCTTCCCTGTTGCTTCTTCTACTAGTTTCTTAGCCCACTACACAAGTCATTGCTTGACCCTATCTCCATGCTTGACAATGTTCTAGGAAGCTAACACTGTCGTAGGCGTCCACACATTAGTTCTATCATCTTCCAAGTCAGTAGGTAGCTCCGGTTGCACCTTGTAATTACTAACGGCCTTCTTCAGCTATGATGCATGGAAGACGGGATGAATTTGGGTTGTTTCTGGCAACTTCAAGTGGTAAGCTACTGCTCCCACACGACCAATAATTTCATATGGCCAATAATACCTTGCAAATAGCATGGCATTGATCCAAGACATAACTGATTTCTACTTATGAGGTCACAATTTTAAGAAAACTCACTCTCCCACTTCAAAGCTTTTTTCTTACCTCTTGAGATTAGTTTGATTTTCATTCTTCCTTGGGCCCACTGCAAGTGTTCCTTCAATTGCCTCAAGACTTCATCCCTCTCTAATAACTCTCGCTGGACTACTTCTACTCGTACTTCACCTTGTATCCCCTTAACCATAGGAGGAGGTTTTCTTCCATAGACTACTTCAAAGGGAGTGGTTTGACTGGACTCATGATAGGATGTGTTGTACCAATACTCCACCCATGGGAGCCAAATTGACCATTCTTTAGGCTAATTAGTGACAAAACACCTTAGATAAGTATCTAAGCACCGGTTAACCACCTCTGTTTGTCCATCCAATTGTGGATGATAGGCCAAACTCATATTTAGAGAAGTCCCCTGCAATCTGAAAAATTCCTTCCAGAATTAACTCATGAAAACCAAATCCATATGACTCACAATGGAATTAGGAACCCCCACTACTTTTTTAACCAAAAATTATGCCAACACCTTAGCAGTATATGGATGTTTCAATGAAATAAAATGGCAGTATTTTGACAATCTATCTACTACCATAAAAATAGCCTCATAACCTCTTCATCGCAGCCCATAATAAAATCCATTGAAATGTCTTCCCACATTCCTTTCGGGATGGGCAAGGGCTGCAATAACCTACCAAGAGAAACTGTCATATACTTCTGCCACTGACATGTATCGCAGGATCGCACATACTGCTGAACCATGCATTTCATTCCCCTCCAATACAAATTGGCAGCAATTCTCCTATAAATCTTGTTGTATCCCAAATGACCTCCTTGTGGAGTGATGTGATATTCCTCTAGCAATTTTGGAATCCAAGAGGATTTTTCAGATATCACCAATCTGTCATCATAGAATAGGACCCCATGTTTGTAGGAAAACCCAACTGAACCGTTTTCTCCCTTCTAGAGCTATTGGATAATCCCCTTCAACTTATCATCTTCATGTACTTCTGCAATGATAACTTGACTATCTAACCACAGAGGAAAATATGTCAATGTCCTGTTCACCATCCTCTTTTTTTAAGGATAATGCATCCGCTCCTTTATTTTCCGTCGCAGGTTTGTAGATGATTTCAAAGTTGTAGCCTAGTAATTTAACAATTCAATTCTATTGGCTGCCTATGATTATCTTTTGTTGCAATAGTTGTTTCAAACTTTTGTGATAAGTGGATACCCAAAATCTCCTCCCTAATAGGTACGGTCTCCAATGATTAATGGCTAATGCAACAGCCATCAACTCCTTCTCATAGGCAGATTTAATCAAATTTTTGGACCCAAAAGCCTTGCTAAACAACGCCACAGGATGTTTATCTTGCATAAGGATGGCGCCCACACCTAAACCAGAAGCATCACATTCCATAGTAAATTCCTTATAAAAGTTCGATAAGGCCAAAACCAGAGCAATGGTCATTCTTCTCTTCAGCTCAGCTTGAGCCTCTTTTCTCCACTTAAACGCATCTTTCTTGGTCAGTTCTGTCAAAGGTTTTGCCACCTTCCTATAGTTGTGAATGAACTTTCAATAATATTCAATTAAGCCAAGAAAATCTCTCACCCCTTTAACATTTTTCGAAATTGGCCAATTTAACACACTCTTCACTTTTCTTGGATTAACAACAGCTCCCTATTGCAATATAGTATGACCCAAGCACTCCACACTCCTTTGTGCAAAGAGACATTTCTTTTTATTAGCAAAAAGCTTTATGCAATTCTAAAATACCCAAAATTTCCTTCAAATGAGCCAAATGAGATGCACAATACTGTCAATATTATCAATGGCGGATGGCGGCTCATGGCAGAAACTCAAAATACTGCCATAAAGTTATGACGGCCGTCATGGCGAGTTATGGCAGATATAATAAAATATATAAAAATAATACTATAGGTCACAAAAAATAATAAAAAATAATTAACTCAAAATATATGTAACATAACCTTCAATCCAAAGTATAATTCAATCCAAAATATGCAATTATCAAAATGTCAAGTTAACAAAAAAAATAAAGATTATCAATTTTATCCTCCTCTTCAACTCCAACATAATCATCCTCTTTCTCATCCAGCATATCCCTCCTCCTCTTCTCCTTCAGATTGTGGAAGATTAAATTGTAATTCATCTTTTGTTTCTTCCGACATCTCTTCATCTTCTAATTCTTCATCATCTTCAAGAACCATTGTCTCTTTTCTTTTTGCTGTTGAGCATGCCTTGATCTTGGAAACTTTTGCAGCTTTGATAGTGATACCACTTGATGGACTCTTTTTTTTCTTAGAATGACGCCTAGTATATGTTGTAGGCTCTCCAATTCCAGAAGCTTTATAAACAGTTGCCCAATTTAAAGTGTTATCATCATAAAAAACTAAGTCATTTCCAGCATTCTCACCTAGAGCATCATCATTCATTTCTCCAATCAACCACTCATTACACTCATCAATGTCATTAAGTGTAATTGGATCAATTACATCTTTAAGACTATAACGTTCTTTGAGTTGTTGGTTGTATTTCACATAAACTAAGTCATGTAATTTTTTGTGATCAAATCTATTTCTCTTCTTTGAATGAATATGCAACGTGAGTTTAATTATAAGAATATTAATTAGTTTCCTTCTAATTTCTAAAATAAAGTAGTAGGCTCGAGAGATAAGAAATTACTTGCTCAAAAACACTCTAGTTGCATTCACATCCGAATGCACTACATGTCAAGCTCAAAATTTTGATAACTAGTTGCTGCAAATGTAGGCTGAATATCCATACATTCTCTACTATTGAGCTATAAAATGAAAGATAAATTATAACTCTAAAGATGAATTATAATCTTAAAATTAAAATATTGAATAATTTAATGAATTACCAGGAGCAATGCTTTTTCTTTGTGATTTTGCAAAATCGGACCCAAAGAAACCACCACCGCTCTTATAAATTGGTAATTCAAATAGTATGTTTTGTTGTACATGGGACTTGACACCAACCTCTTAATACAATCATACAACCCATTTGTAACTTCCAAATCAAATTCAATTTGAGAGTTGTCATAGTAAAATTCTGAATTTAAAATGTGACCAACTGCATGTAATGGACGGTGAAGCTGACAAGTCCATCTATTATCAATGATTGCAAACACATCTTTGTATTTACTTTCATTATTTTTGAATGACTTCATAATAACTTCTTTACTTTTCTCCATTGCTTCATAAATATACTACATGGCTGGTCTTCTTTCCCCATCAACCAAACGTAACACCCGGACAAGAGGAGCCATGATTTTCAAAGTATACACCACATTATTCTAAAATACAGGATTTAATAGAATTTTTGTTGCTTGCTTCTCTTTAGCTTCCTTTGATAACTTGTTTTTACACCATTCCTCAGAAGTAAACATCTTTTTAAGATTTTTTTTTTTTTTTGTGAAGCCTTTCTAATGATAGAAAAGAAGTTGTAAATCGAGTAACTGCATGTCTCACCAATTCCCTCTTGTTTGTAAAATTTCTCAACAAACTCAAAATACTTGAATGACTGTAGATAAAACCAACAACCGATATTCCCCTTTGAATTGCCTTCTTTATCAAGATAAGCTTTCTAATATCTTCAAGCATAAGATCTATGCAATGAGCTGCACAAAGAGTCCAATAAAAGATGTCTTTTCGCTTCCAACATCTTACCAGCCAAAACATAATTGCTTCCATTATTCATTATCA